CGAACTTCATTTGAAAGGTTATATATCACTCTGGAAGCGGTTTTATGAGGTGGGGTACAAAAATTTGAAGAGCTTAAATTTTCTTTCTAAACCGAATTCAAACTGTTGCAATTGTTCGATTCTCCAGCAATCGCCTTGTTGTTCCGGTTTTTATGCACACGCGAGTTTTCATCATTCAAACGTCCATAACTTCCTTCTTTCTTAAAATTTTGCAGATCTATAAGACTATTTAGAAACTAGAAGATTAGCGCTTTCGGGAAATACTGGATATTCCCCGTAAATCACTTTCTCAAAAAATGGTCCCGTTGTTCCTTTTTTTTAGAGGCTTGGGGTCTCGTTTTTGAGAACGCGTGAGTTCTCCTCATTCAAACGCTAATAACTTCCTTCATTACTAAGCTTTCAAAAAATAATGGAATTCTCCTGGATGACCACTCTTTAAAAAAATACTCTCGTTGTTTCGTTTTTTTTCTTCATGGGTTTTTTGACCATTCTCCCGAAACACGAGTTTTTAGCCTTCAAATGGTCATATGTTTCTTCAACGTCGGTACACTAAGGTAAGAAGCGGTAAAAGCCACTGAAATCAGCAAGATCAGTACTTCATAGCATACATATGCTAAATTGTCTTGAAAGGGAAACACTAGTTGTGCCAGAACTCTCTATTGGGACGCTAGAAGTCAATCGCCGAATTCGCTGCACTTTTCTCCACTGTCCTTTGGCCTAAGAGCGAGATGAGTTCCTCTTAAAGATTTTGTTTGCTTGTGGTCAATGGTCTCATTTCCGATCAAAACTTGTGGATCGATTGTAGGAGCAACCGAATTATTAGTCCATGTTCAGGACTGACCGAGTTGCTCTACTAAAAACAATGAAACATCGGTCGGTGCATTATGAATGATAATTCCATGGCATTGCTGGAAAGAATTTTTCTAAGGAAGTGTATCTGAAAAGACCTGCTCGTCTGATGTGGGATGTGTGTGGGTTGAATGCTAAGTATGTCATGAAGGCTCAGCCTGAAAGGACTGGAGCACGCTCAGGAGCCAATAGGATAACGATCGTTTCCCCTTTAGAACAACTGTGTACCAGTTTTCCGTGAAGCTCCGCGCAGCGCGTCAGTGGTACTATGTGGCACCTAGTTTGTAAACTGTTCGATTAGTCCTAGAATTCGGGACTGTTCCTATTACCATTCCCATTAAAGGCAAAGGTCGGGCTCGGGCACGCTAGAGAAGCAATTCCGGTGCCTGGAGTTGTATGTGGGTAGCTGCACACATCGCAGCGAATTCTCACCTTGAAAAATCCCGTCAAGGCCCCATGGCGTTCGGTCCAATCCAGGGCCGCCTGGTCAATCCAGGACCGCCCACCTCCAGGAGTGGTGCATGGCTAGCATAACGTGTGAAATCAGCTAGGTTGATTGCCGTATCAACCGATAGAACGACTGACACCTCCAGAAAACTTGTTTGCACGTGCCTCTTTCCCGAGTCAACCTCCTTCACTGCTAGTGGGGAAGCGGGTTTTGTTAGCGGCCTTGTACACGGTTTTTCTCAGTTTTTTCATCACTCTCGTTTCACTTCGCATCTCTATACTCAGTTTCAATCGCCATATACCCCCTTAATGAGCCCTACTTTTGCCTACAAAGTACACCACTTGTATCTCCTTTCATCTCATGTTCGAGTTCCTAGAATGGGAGCCGCATTTGCTCTTGTTTCACGAAGTGGCACGGTCAACCAACAATTATTTGCTGATAAAGGGTGAGTGACGTGAGCAAACATGTCCGCTCAATATCGTATATTTTGTTGCTTCAGTACTTCGTGGGTGTCGTATTCGTTCAGCAAGTATTATACAAAGCTATAGCTCACGTGGGCGCGACTACCCTCAGTTTGAGCTGATCGGTCAGTATTATCCGCCTAGGTGGCTCAGCTCAAGAACGCAGACCTTGATGTGGTATCAAGCTTCGTCGTCGATGAGATATCTTAGTTAGAGGGTGCAGTTTGTAGGCTCAGACTGATATTAACCCTTTGACGACCGTATGGCCCGCCGGCGGGCCATGGCAACTACTATCTTGTACTTCCTCCCTTTTGCCATTTTTGGAAATTTCAGTTACTAAATATGTTCATTACGCCCTAACAAGGATATGTACACAGTGGTCCACGAATTGCTTTCTTCTAGGGAGAAATCCAGAAACAATAGGACTAAAAACACTTCCAGTGCTAATCTTAGCAAAAATGTCATCATTACCCACACAGAATAAGAATACAGCTTATGTGGTGGTTTTTAAAAACCGGAGCAGTAATCTTAGCTCCAATTGCTGCTACAGTCGTAATATTCCTAGCATGATTTAGTCGATAGGACCTAGTCGTTGCGGGCCTCACCAATTGTTTGGTCTTGTGAAAAAATTGTCATTCAGATGTAATACAAATTAAGTGTAATACATGAACAAGTAACTTAAAGTGGAGATTCTGGTAGGTGCTGCAGACGCCTTGTCGAAAACCTCACAAAGCCCAAGGCTCCCATCGAAGTCAATAAAATGGTCAGCGTATGTTAGTTATCTAGTGAGCAAAGTTACTTGCTATTGACACCACAGTAACTAAAGAAAGAAGCTTAGAAGAAACATTCGTATTTAAATCTAGTCGATTTTGAATGCAAGTTTTGCGCAAGAAAACGATTGCTCTCGGTAGCTGTAACTTCAAAAGTATAATACTATCAAAACACTTATTTTCCACTCATAATCTGAGAGCTTTTTCATGGGTCCTTTTCAGTACTTTGCTAATATTCCGTCTGGGTTAGAATGTATGGTTGATTAGTACGACGACTAACCGAAGAAAGTTTGCAGTTTAGTCAATATCGCTATAATTAAGCAAAAATGCGGTCTCCTGGGACCGTATGGCCCGCCGGCGGGCCACATGCTGTTTGGCTTGCGGTCCCACACGCTAGACACGTTTAGAGCGCGCGGTCGTCAGAGGGTTAAAGGAATCTATCACGAAAGAAGCTCCGCCTCCATTACCACAGAAAACGGCACCTTAAAGGAATTTTCCACGGAAAGAGTGATCATTTTGTCTTGTGTGCAGGATTAGTATTATCGAAACTAACGCTTATGTTCCGTTCTTTTTGCTCTGCTCATGAGGCTAGTGGCCTAAGCGGTACCGTTATTCTGTGGTAATGAAGGCGAGGCTTTTTCCGCGGAAGATTCCTCTAAAGATCCTCCCGGGAATCTTCGCAATCTTTCTCAACATGTGTGTGCCAGTTGTGCTCACTAGGAACCACATATGAAGGTTTGCGCTCAATGATTCAGTTTCCGAAGAGAAGCTAACCTACGAAAACCGCACTCCATGAACGGTCGAAGGCAAATTGGGCAGACGTAAAGGAGTGTATGGAAAAAAGTGCGCCTCGGGGCGGTCGCATATTATGCTACAAACTGTAAGGATCTATTGAAAGCGTTCAATTTCAAAGAATGGAGACAAAACGATCGTAGGATGCAGTAGATGTGTGAGATGTTAGTGCAAAAAGCCGAGAGATCAGAAAGACTTCTAGTCACGGTCCGAGAAGCAAGTGAAAGCGTTCCCGCCTCCAACATTTGTGACAGATGTACGGCGGGAATTTGAACGCGTAACAATCTTTCGGGTTTTTGAGTTAACGAAGACAGACAGAATTTTTTGTCTTTTCTTTCTTACTGTGAATGATGAATGTCAGCTCAGCGATTTATGTGTAAGATAGGGTCATGATTTTTTGTGGGGATTCCTTTAACCAGGTGACTGCTGGTGGCTGCTAAAACTTCTTGCAACGTTTCTCTGAAGTACGGCACTCAGAAACATCTTAAGAACGATGTCAAACTTTGCGAATCGAGCGATTCGCTAGCATCTGTGGTCGCGTCAGCGGCGGCGAATCCAGCGAATCGCTTGATCGGCAAAGTTTGACATCGCGCTGAAGTTGCCATCCACCCTATTGAGAAGCTTAATATGGTACACAACGCGACCACGGACGCTAGCCTATCGCTAGCAGCGCATCGCTCGATTTGCGAATTCTGCATCGGCCTAAAGTTGCCATCTTCCCTCTTGAGAAGCCATCATGTGCGCAGCTGCTTTTTTGTAATAATCCTCCGGTAATGAATAGAAAACAACAAGGGAGTAGGTCCACCGCTAACTTCATTTCCTCCTTTGAATGCCGCAGTCGTATTATGCTTGCGCATTGTTGTTGAAAGTGAGCTTCCGATGGACCCATTTTAAAAGACGTAGGGAATTTCATCGTAACTCTCTATCACTGACGATTGTTGGGAGGAATCGGAGACAACGAGGAAAGGAGAAGGAGGATAGAGGCAAAGGTTGAGTCGGTGACTTTGGCGAGGTAGCGAAAAAAGGACAGCATCCGAAAAAATTTGGCGCAGGTAAAGTTAGCGATTACGTCAGGTCCAGTACGGATTTAAAGGAGACGTAGGGGTGCGCAATGGTACGCCAGTAGCGAAAAAAAAAAAACAGAGAAACCCGCCAAGGAGATGCAAAGCGGGCCAGCGTGTGTGGGTGGTCTTGATGCTCACGGATGGGTAGCGGCTAAGACGGCGGACGTATGAACGAGTGTACTGCAAAGCGTGTGGTTTCACCATGTCAATTTGTGCTCCAGTCGAGTTGTTCCAGTTATGCCGCTGCTGATAACGCAATTGGTCCAAATCATCAACTAAGTTACTGGGCGGATCGCTTTTGCGGAGCAGTGCTTCAGCCATCACTGACAGCACCAGTGTTCGCAGATCATCAGCTAGCGCACCTATCATCGTGAGAGCGCTACACCTCCCTTTCTTGACAGCGAAGCTATTGCTTCGTGTGGAGTATATTTTTCCCCGATGCGTTCTCACTTTATCGTGATCGTTTCCTTTCACCTCAAGTTGGGGTGGGGGAGGGACAGGGCCATGAAAACACTGTATTTGTTCCATGTTTGGGGTCGGATGGGAAACACATCCTTCGAAGGAAAATGAAAAGAGATAGAAAGTTCATTCAAAGCTTATTGATAGAGTACGATATCTATTTGCTCGGAGTCATGTACTTGCTGCAGTCCTTGCTGTTGAGATTTGTTCGGATGAAAGGGCATTTCTAAAAATCAACAAGGTCGTTAAATATTAGGCAACAGTTACTTCATCTATTCAGATGCAAACGCCTCAGGCCTTCTTACCGGATCAGGACATGCAAGTGGTATTGCCGGATTGGTGAGATCTCCTTGTGTGGTCTTCTTATCAGCTGGTTCAAGAATATTCTTCCACAACCAAGTGGAAACGATACCATGACCCCACTGAGAAAAGTGGAAGCAGTCTGGGGCAAAGAATTTCATATTGATTTTTCCGTCCTGAAATCAGGTCACTCAGGCAACAGCAATGAGGCAAAGAAGGAAACTGATAGTGGAACACAAAGACTTGTAGCTATTCCTTTTCGATGAACCCACCTTCATGGGTGGTGTGACAATGTCGCGGAAAAACGGTTGAACGGCAAGTGTGAAATCCTCCTTATCAAATTTTCCCGAATTACCGAGAGCGATTTCTCTATTGGCGTAGTCGACGCAAGCCTGAAATTTACTGCACATTTCTTAAAGATGTCAGCACGTCGGCGACACGGCGACTTTTTGTCCGCACTGGACCGTTACCTTTCTTCTTTTCAAAAACGCACCCGAAAGGTTGACCGGATACGTAGCGTACTGATGCTAACAACAGTGCCGAAAAGTTTGGAGCTCAGTGCATGATCTCTCAGGCCGTCGTTCTACTAGACGTAGGACATCGTTCTACTGGACGGTCTGGGAATATATTGTGCGAAGGTCTAGTATGCCATATCGAATAAGTCAAGGTTTGCACTAAAGGTAACTGATAGGGCCAAAGACTAGAAAACAAAAGAAGTGTTGTCGTTGAGTTCAAGTGTAGTTTTGGAACAATATAGGAGACCTCCGATTTTCTACTGCGCTAATCTTTTATGCACTCGCCTTTCTTGCTGAATGTTGAACCATTGCACATGCTAAGTGTAATCGAAAAATTAGTGATAAATGCACATTCAGAAATGAGAAATTGTGCTAATGAAACCACTTGAAAAGATGAAAAGGCAGCCCTTCAGAAAAAAGGCAGAGGTAGCCAGTGGTGCACGGATGAAGCAAGTCCATGAGAAACCGCATAAAGCCCAAGTCTCTCATTGGTGGTGGTCACTTCATCGCTAACATTCTCTCTGCTAAACGACTAGAGTCACACGGCGGCGCGGCGTCGGCGACGCGGGTGCGGTCTTGCTAGGCCGCTAGGCGTACTCTTCGCTGCGAGAACACATTGTCTTGCACTCTCAGGGGTCCGCCTGCCTTTCGACTTGATTATTCCCATTCTGCCTTATCGTGGAATCTTTATCTGAATGAAAAGTTCACTGTGAAAGAACTGCACGAACTATCGCACTATGAATGCTGCATTGCGCTTTTGATTGATACGTAATCAATAGCAATCTGAAATCCGCATGAAGAAAATGGCGTCGCAATGTCTCTTGCGCCAAAAAGTTCCTCCATGGGAATCACTCACAGCAAGTCCTTCGAGAAATGAGAAACAGCTAAAAAGGACTCTTGGAAAATAAGCCCTGGAGGGGAATCTCGTCACAACGGACTGCCGCCTCAATCTACCATGCCGACTCCACTGCTTGAAAATTAATTGAACTCTAGGCTCATCATAGAGCAATTCTTGACAGCTGGTGACTTTATGAACTTCTTAATATGTTCTTTTTCGCTTACTCTTCTGTGGAGGTTCAACTGTATCCAGGTTCCAATATGTGTTTGGTCTCCGATGGGTCTTACCAGAAAGGTCTTTCAGGGCGTGCCAAGCTTTTGAAAACGGTCTTTCGCATGATATAGGGACACATGCGGGAACCACAGAACCATGGTTCACTTTTCCTGAACGGCCCTCTGAATACCAGGAAAGGGGGTCTCTAGTTCGATTCCTCCTGGTGACAAATTTTTGCATTTCGAGTTGACGTTTCGAAAATCCGCGCAGAAGAAGAGAGAAGTTAGCAGAGAAGTTAGCATGAATAATTGGTACCATATTCATGATTAGGACCGTCAGTAACCCCTACAAGAAGACTTTTACTAAAAAATTGGTGTATTAAGTGTGGCACCAAGCAGCCCCACTGTGGTGTCACGCCTTTTTCACCAGTTTTTTAATCAAAGTCTATTTATAAGGGTTACTGGCGGTCCTAATCATGAATATGGTACTAACTATTCATGCTAACTCCGTTTTGCGCGAATTTTGGAACCTCGAAATGCAAAAATTTGTCACCAAGAGGAATCGAACTAGGACTCTCTTCTTTGGCAAAAACCAGAAAGCCGTTCAGAAAAAATGAACCAAGGTTCTGCGATTCCCGCATGTGTCCCTATACCATGCGATAGACCGTTTTAAAAAGCTTGGCACGCCCTGAAAGACCTTCCTGGTTAGCGACTCTTCACTTTGTACATTTAATGCGAGGATGAATCTGATTGAGATAAGTACTGAAAAGTGCCATCAGAAGCAGAACCTAAAGCTCCCAATTCAGAAAGATAAAGTTAAAAAGAAATCAAAAACGACAAAAAATTGAAGCAGAAAAACCACTAAGAAATGATTAGGTTGATCTCTTCCTCATTTTTTAACGTTGAACATGTTCTGCCCAGATCATACACTTTTGTAGTCATTGAACAAATGTTGAATGCTCCCTTCTTTCAATCTTTATTGAGCAATAGAGTGCCCTTTTAGCGCGAGCAGATCTGGAGCCAATTTGGTAACATATTGCAATTACTGATCCTATTACTTTTGCACTAAACTTTATCTCTCGTGCGATAAGGAATCGACTGGGCAGAATTGCATGATCTTTGAGCAGCTAATGGCATAATTAGATGGATGCAGCATATTGCGAGGTCGAACTATTGCCAGTCGGCTACGGAAAGTGCTAAGATCTCCTTACGCAACAAAACAATGTGTCTGTAACACTACCTCGTATA